TAACATAGAAGTAGCACAATAGTGAAATAGCGAGCAAAACAAGTCAAGAACTGAGTAATAATATTTCATATAGCCAAACAATAAATAATCCGCATTTCACATATAAGGATACAGTGGCTCATATATCTACTCCACCATAGCTTGATCGATTGGTAGTTGACACTCCGTCAACTTTCAAGTAAGGTAACTAGTCCAGTAGAACACCACTTAACTCCAATCTCCGTCCACCAACCAAATCTCTTATCGGGCCCGAACTCCACAATAAACACTAGCGGTAATACTCGAGTATACCGATTAGTCGAGGAGATAACACTTCACTCGACATCACTAACTACCCAGGGTTCGTTATCTAATCGACCAGGCCTTTGCCGGCTCGACTCGACTAACTAGCCACAGGGTTTTTGGAATTCCAAACAAGATATAATTCATGTGCATGTATATCAATTCAACTGAAATCAATAACCAAGAACAAATCACATTAGGGCAAGTGCGATAAAGTACAAGCTTGCCCTATCAATCTACTCATATATCAGGTAATCACATTGCTCAAGTATTAAACACAAGTATCAAGTGCAATCCGGTATTTGGAAGCACTCACTAAATATGTAGTGCCTCTACGGGTCACGTTTGGGTACTACTCCGGGTTTGGAGTCCAAATCTGCGAGAAAATATCGTTTAAGAGCTTTGAAAATCGACTAAGATTCGAAACTTAAACGTTTCGTTTAACAAGAATCAAGTAATTAAAATTCATTTGGAGAATATTCATAAAACCCTTGCTCGCTATTCAAACTGTGAAACTTGGTAGCAATTATACTTGGAAATACCATTTGAGTCAAAAGAACAAGGAAAACATACTTCTATTAGTCGTTATTTTTATTTTTCCAAGGGTACAAGTTTCGGTCGAATTCTAACTTATATACCTTGATAAAAGAAGATGCAAATATCCTAAATGGTCCAAGTGGTATTCGTTCTCAAATCCTTACGCAAGTCGCGAGTATATCTACCTAGCTCTCGAGGGCAAATTTGGGCGGCACGTCCTTTGTATTTACCTATTTTTCAGTCATTTATGACTTCATTCTTTTCCTCAATCAGTCCCAAAATCACACACAGATAATCTCATTACAATAGCCATTCAATAGGCTCAAAGTCATACAATTACAAAACCAAGCTAGAAAAATGACCGGAAATGAGGTTTAAGGCAAAGAACCAAATGACAGATTCGACGTCTCTTAGCGTATCGGTCACAACCGAAACTACGTTTTTCAGATTGGGGTACAATTTATACCGTTTCGAAGCTAAGACAAAGGGATACAACTTTGATGAAGACCACTCAATCCAGTTCACAATTGATCTAGGTCAAAAGTACAGATTACAGAAGCAAAAGGTCCTTGTCAGTACGGTTGTCAGTACTGAATTCAAATGACAATAACTCAGGCTACACAATTCTGTTTGAGGTGTTTTTAGATGCGTTGGAAATTTGAAACATAGGGCTAAAATTTTTGTGTTTTGGCCAAAGGCTAATTTGATATGGATCAAGGTGAAAAATGCAGCCAAAATGAGGAAATGTCCAAACTGTCCACAAACCTATACCTATGGCAGCAAGGGTAATTTTGACTTTTCACATGCTACAGTACTAGGATTGAGCTGAAATTTTGTAAGCCACTATTAAACATCATTTCCTACAACTTTCATGTTTTAACCTAAGGCTGATTCGGCCTCCATCATAGCCGAATGAAACTGGACAGAACAGGGTAACTTCAATCCTAAATTCTGGAATTTGATACATTCAAGTGATACTCTTCTTATTCTAGCTTGAACCACTACTTCACCTCCTTATCTAGGCTTATTCACATCATATTCTATCTAAACAAGAAGAAATATAGCTGAACAATTCAAAACCCTAACTCACAAATTCTCCATAATCATCAAAACTAGTTGCATAGCTATCAATTAACCAAGAATATGAGTTGTGTAGCAACTTAAGCAAGATTAAGGGAAATAAAGATGATGGACAACCAATATACCTCACTAAGATGCTTGTAAGAGATATCCACCACCTCTCCTTGTAAAGTTTTAGCACACCAAACTTCCCAAGTGCTCAAAGAAAGGATTAATCGGTTTAGTTTCTTGATTTTCACTAAAACTAAGCTAAAATCCCAAGATGAAATGAAGTTCTCTCCTCTTGTTTTTCTCCCTCAATATATCGGCCACCATAGCTGAAAATGAAGAGGAATGAAGGCCAAGAAAGGTTATAAGGCTTAGTCCTAATTTGGGTCAAAGATGCATGGATTGCTTCCACTTGTCATCACCAATTTACATCTAAATTTTTTTCTTTTCTCTTATTTTTTTGAAGTCAACATTTTCAGCTACCTTGATCAGATTTAGAGCTGATATTTAGGCTCTAATAACAATGAGATTAACTTGATAAAATGGTGGTCAAATGGTGTGTTCAATCGATAGTGAACGGTACCCGTCGGTTCACACCGTTTTTCCTTAACTCGCACGTACTAGGATTTTCATTTATAATACACTAACTTCTTATTCTTATTTCTAATCACCCATTTAATATCATCTAAAATTCACTCTTAATCACCCTTTTCATCACTAAATTGAATACACACTCCATACCGATTACCCACACTACACAAAGACGTAAAACCCTAGTTTATCGTAACGATGAAAGTAAAAGGAAACCCCTTGTTTTTATGATTATTTGTAGCTATTGGGGAAGTGAATGGGTATTAAAGTTATTGTAAAGTAAGAAATTCCAAATTAAAGAGAATTTTAAGAAAAATATAAGGAATTTTACGAGTCCTCACATGAATGCTGCTATTCCTTCTGATATAGTTGAAGATAAATTACTGCCACTTGAGAAGGTTGAGGTTCACTCTTGTAAACCTCTTTATTCACTCATAAAAACAATGTTGTGACTTTTTGGTGTTGATTGTGGGATCAAAGTTAGATGAATTTTTGAGCGATGATTGTTGAGGTGAAGCCTGAACTAACGAACAAGAAATAGGGTCCAAGTTTGCGTTAACAATGGTGGATGATGTGGTTCTTGCTTTTGAATTTGTGCTTGATTTCGTACCAATGAAGCTGTCAATCTACTTATGATCAAGTTTGTGTCGATATTCAGACCCTATAAACTTCAAGGAAGAATTATTGGAGCATGACTTTGTTCAAGTGTTGTAGGTTCCTCCTGGAACTCAAGGTCAAACTCTTACAAGGAGGAGGGAATTGATGTACAATGTGTTCCTCGTCAAAATCACAATTTGTGCACAATCCAGCTTAGAAACCGGTGCTGAATTGATAGGGTGGATTAAAGGTAGAAGCTACTGACATGGATCTGCCTTCTGCAAGGTGGATTCACGACCTGCTAAAACGGATCCATCCGAAAATCCTGAGTCAATGATTAGATGAAGTTTGCTTTAGTTTCTAATTTTAGTTGCCTTTTTCTTGCCCTTTCAGTTTAGAACACCTATAGCTTATAAATACGCATATTTAGGATTTTATTTTATAGCTTTTGACATATTTTATGAAACTTTAACACAGTTGTATTTTGATTAGCTCCTATTCTTGAGTCTACTAAAGTGTGAGATTCTTGTTGAATGATCTTGTGTGTTCTAATCTGAAACCTATTTTTCTTTGAGGGTTGATCATGAATCATTTTTGGTTTGCTTGTTTGGATTAATTCATGTAATTACTTTCACTACTGCATCAAGTAAATATTGATTGTGCTGAATTATGGATCTCTAGTAGAGTTAATTGAGTTTGTACCAATAAATTTTGTCTTCTATTTGTTTGCTATTTATCCTTGTATCCATGGTCTTTCATGCAAGAAATGATACATGTCATTTGTCTTGGGCTTGATGGTTGCTTGAAATAGTTTTACAATTCATGAGTATGTTGCAATCTTATATTTTAATTTAAATCCATCTAAATAAGCTCTTTTTTGGCTCTGTGCGTGTCCTTCTCATTTAGTCAGAAGTTTGATGGACATTACTAGATCCTTGTTGAAGAGGTTGGCTACTAAAGAACTAATTACCATAACCCCTGTGTACAGTTTTGCAGCTGGCGTAATTTTCAACTTACTTGTGAGTGTTCATGTTTAACACTCTATTGCAAATACTAGGGCTGATCAAATTTTGGAAATGACTGAAAAATCAGCCGATCTAATTTAGATTGAATATTTGACATTAGTAAGTCAATATTTATCCAATTGATAAAGTTCAATAAAACAGTTTAGGGCGAAAATTCCACGTTGTCCCAAACTTTGGGTTAAAAACACATTTCATCCCCAAACTTTGTGGTGCAGCACATTTAATACATAAATTATCAATTTCAAGAGACATTTAGTCTACAAATGGCAAATTTATCAATTTAGATGGAAAAGGGTCACGTGACTAGCGCATGCTCGTTAAGGAAAAATCCGCAAAAAAGAAACTACTAGCTTATGTTGGCTTCAGTAGAAAAATATTACAAAATTTTTTTTCCTATGATAAATTTATGTTAAAAAATATTACAAAAATTCTCTTTCATAAGCATGTTAAAAAATATTACAAATTTTTTTTTACTCATACATGGAGGAAAGCCATAAATTGCAAGTAGTTATGGGAAATAAAAGAATCCCATGCGTAGCTGGTATTTTTTCCTTTTTTTTGTAGAACATAAAAAGGAAGATATAAATAAGTGGTAATTTTTGGGCAAGATAAAAGAAAAATTATAAACATCTAGTAGTTTCTGTATAAGATAAAGAAACAAAAAATTGCCAACTGTTTATGACTTTCCTCTATTTGGTCAATAATCAACCCGACTATTATGTAGACACCAAAATTTTGTCAAATTTTAATGTTTTTTTGAATTTTTTCTATTTAATGAGTTGTTTATTTTCTTGCATTTTAATGTGTATTTTCTCATTTTTGCAGGTTTGTTTTGAAAAAAAAAAGAAAAGAAAAAGAGAAGATAAAATCTTTCCCTAATTATTTCTCTTTCACCAAATGCACACTTAACCCATTTCTACACTCAATTTTCTTCACCTTTCTTGTCATTTGGTAAATCATGATTTTTGACCAACCTAACACTCTTTCTCCTAATACATCTCTCGGCCTTTTCTTTTGCTTCCAAGGGGACAAGAAAAAAAACTCCACTTTGGCTAAAGAGGCTCTCGGCTCTCTCCCTCAAAAGACAAGAATAAGAACCAAACACAAAATCTCCACTTTTTTTTACTCCAAAAGAGAGCTCTCGGTCCTCTCTCTTTCTTCAAAAGAAAAACTAGCAGATTTTCTCCTCATCTCCCTCAATCTTCTCTCGGCTCCATCTCTGGCTCTCTCAATGTCACATGCACCTGTCCTCGGAGCAAAGAAAGGTGAAGGAAGGAAATGAAGACAACAAGCAATTGGGGTGTGAGGTGCTGGATTTCCTCCAAAATTTTGACCGAAGAAGCTCTTGCTTGAGTTGAGGTATTTTTCCAGTTTTATTAACCATGTTAAAGCTATATTGTAACGTTTAGTTTTCTGGTTTTTTCTGTCTTTTGTTGTTGTTGTTGTGTTGTTCAAAATTTTGGAAATGGCTTGAGCAAGATTGAAGAAAGAGAAGTAGTTTTTCTGTACGCATGCTAAATGTTTGATAAAATGCCATAATAAAAAATGAATTAAACTAGTGAATATTTTGTGCTTATTTCTGGTGAAATAGACGGTTGTAGTTAGTATGTGGTTTGAAAAATGTTGAATTATTTAAGTATTTTGAATTTTTGAGCATTAGAGGCATGTAAATATATTTTTTTTTTATTTTGGGCTGTTTTGTTTTTGATTCATGATTTGTTGTTGTTTTTCTTGTTAAACTAAGAACATAGTTGCATTGTAGTAATCACAAGTAGTGTTTTGGCATAAAATTTACAATTTTTGGGTGAGATTTTAGTGATTTTTGGGAAGCAAAACCGTGACTGTTTTTTGGCCATTTGACAACTTTTCTTTCATTTTTTTTTGTAAAAACTAACTTTGGAAATGGAATCTACGCGAAAAATGGAGTGGGGGTGTATTTTGACATTTTTTGGCGACCAGAAAATTCGCCGGCGGCAGTCCGGCGGTGGCGCCCCGACGGCTGGCCGAAGAAGAAGAGAAAGAAACGGCTGGGAAGTGGAGGAAAAAGGAAGAAAAGAAAAGAAAGAAAAAGAACAGTTGGGCTAATAATTTTTTCTGGTGGATTTTTAGTTGGGTTTTTGACTTGGGTTTTGGTTACTTTTTTTTAGGGTTTTACGCATGGGTTTGGGAGTTGAAACCCATGCATTTCGGTTGGGTTTGTTTGACAAAAAACGATGGGCTAACCCGTCTGTTGTTCTCGAGGCTTTCCGGTGGGCTTGGGAATCCTAGCCCAAAGAAATGAGAAAAATGGTCCAGTGGCCTGATTTGTTAAGGAATAAGAAAACATTTTTTCATATCAGTCCCTGTGCTTTCAAGTATTTTCACTATGGCATATTTTAAATTTCTTTCAATTAGGTCCTTAAATTAATTTCACTTTGGTCCCTAAATTTTATCTTTCATTTAATTTTGACCCCTGAACTTTGGAAAAATATAATTTTTATCCCCAAAAGTTTTTCCAATTTTTGCAATTCAATCCCTAATGAGTTTTGACTTTCTTTATTATGATTGTTTCTTTTCTTTAATAGCTAATTATGTTACTTTTGAATATATTTAACTTGTAATTTTTAGATGTTCTTAAATTTCTATGCATTTGACATGTTAAGATGAATTTTTTATCATTATTATTATTTTTCAATTAAATTGGTGTCATGATTCTTTTGTTCATTTTGAGTATAAATAGGGCCATGTAACTCCATTAGGTCACCACTTCAAAAGGGAGGTATCTCTATTATTATTATTTCAATGTCAATTACGTGCTCTTATGTCCTCCTACGTGTTTCTATGTGTTTATATATTTTTATATGCTTTGTTTATTTGATTTAAATATTCATTTGAATTTTCTTATATATGTTTAATTAATTTTTATAATGATTTGAGAGGCATTTAAATACCTCAAAAATGTAATAGATAGGATAATTAGATTATTTTTATTATACTTTTCCCATTTAGATTGTAGTTAGGCTCCCCGATGTAATAGGTGAGTTGTGTGTTTATATGGTTTATGTGTTATGTGCCTTATCCACTTTTTTTAGAATTTTTGCATCTAGATATTATGTTTATGTGTTATGTGTTACGTGCTCTTATATGTTTATTTGTTTTGATTTATGCCTATTTGTTTTCCTATGTATTATTAATGCATGACGTCACCACACCAGTCCAACACTAGTTGTGGTTTCTCCCTTTATTTACTTGCTAGTCCAATGCTAGTAAAGACTTTTACAAATGGGCTAGTCAAACGCTAGACCCTTAGATTGTTCATGCGTTAAATTCATTTTTGTGTGATATTCATTACATTTCCATGCATATTTTTCATTTTTAGGATCTTTTCTCGTTTGCATGATATTCCCTATTATATTATCCCCTATCCTCTATATGTGTTAATCATATCATTTAGAATTGCATCTCATTTAAGAAATTATAGAATAAGTTAGTTCATTTGCTTGTTCATATTAGGAGAATTATTTTTTGAACATGGAAATGGGTGATTATAACGTTTTAGTTTAAATACCCATTAATCCTTGTATAAGAAAGTTATGTCACGAGTTTTTATCTCCCGTACCCATTATGTTGTATTCCTATTCTTTGACCATTTATATCTAGATATATAATTTAATTTTCTTTTCTTTTCTTTTAGTTTCATTCATGCATGCTCGTGACCCCTTCAAGGAATTATTTTGGCCTTCGCAATCAATGTGATTGGTATCAATTAAACCCTTGAATGTATATTTTGTCCTTTTAGATATTTTTTAAATTTAGATTTGCATCCATGTAAGAAACATCCAAATGTGATAAAATTAAGCGTTAGATTAGGAAAATTTTGACTAAACCTCGTAATTAGCTTAAACTAGGTTGAAAGAGTGCCTTAGATTTGAGTTAATCGAATCTTTGTCTTCCCTTTCTTCAACTATGACTCCCGAACCAATTTTCTCTTGTTTTTAAAGATCTGGAATTGTCGAAAAGGATTTTATTTTATTTATTTTATTTTTGAAAAACACTTTTGGGTGATTTGGTACACCCATACTCAATATCAAGTGACGACTTCTCTTTTTTCTTAAAAACCCTTTTAGATTGAATTTTAGATCCAAATTGTCGTATTCTTTAAAGTCTTATTCTAGGTCCTTTTTCACTTATTTTTAAATAAATCACATTTTTTGTAAATACTGTTTTTCCATCGCGAAAAATGGGGCGCGACATATTACATTATATATTATGCAAAATTTTGTAATGAAAATGCCTTAGTTTGTCAATTTACTTTTGCTTTATATAGAAAAAGGTAGTTCAATTGTCACCAAAAGCACTGTAAATACAAAGAACTGTATGAACAAGCTAATTTGGATAAATTGTCTTCATTTCCATTAATAAAGAACTGTATTAACAAGCACGACCACGTGTTGGTCACGTGACCTTTTTATGTTAAAATTGATCGATTTGCCGTTTCTGGATTAAATGTGTCTAGAAATTCATAATTCATGTATTAAATATGTTGCACCTAAAAGTTTGGGGATAGCATATGTCCCTAATGCAAAGTTTGGGGACAAAAAGTGAAGTTTTCCCATAGTTTGAATATAGCTATTGAAATTTGATTCCTAATTTCTGATTAGGGGCCTAATTACCAAAATTTATGTGTTAATAGTACACTATGTATATTATATCCATACTAATGTGCTACGTTGTTAATGAAAAATGTTATAAGGCACAACTTATGGTACTAAAGGAAGTTCATTAAAAATAGATTTTATATATAATAACATTTGAAAGTTTTGATTTTGGTATACTGCTTATATATCATAAGAAATACTACAATGTTTATCTTTATCCCTAACTTTTGATGTTTACAAAACAAATGGATGATACTAATATCTCTTTAAGAAACTCTTTCAGCCATAAAGTAAATCAGATTCAAAGATCAAGTACAATTGAAAGAGAGAAAGGTTGCTGAAAGCTGTCGGACGCTCGTGAAGACAGGACCGGACGTCCGATAATCGTTGCGCAACTTCAAACGCATGAAGAACTCCACTACCGGACGTCCGAAGGAATTAAGACATTCCCTCTAACTCACTGACTTTGATCGAACGCAAAACATTAGAGCACCGAACGTCCGATAAACAATGCGGCACTTTGGACGCAAAACATTGGAAGTACCGGACATCCAATAGAACTGAAGAAGATTTCTCATATTTATCATCTGCTTTCGGATGCAAGCATCAGAGACCTCGGACGTCCGAAAGAATTAAAGAAATTTTCTCAAATTCACTGCCTGCTGTCGGCCACAAGAAACAGGAGTACCGGACGTCCGACACTTCCAACGGTTAGTTGACTCTTCAGGTACCTTTTATCCATTGGAAGCATTAATGGAGGAACTTTTTGGTCTGATATATATATATATAGTGCATGGTCAACTACTTTTAGATAACTTTTACACATTGAGACTACAAAAGATCAAGAGTGATTTTAGTGAGAAAATACTCTGTAAGAAAGATTTGTACTCTTAGTTGTGTAAATTTCGTATAAGCTTTTCTTGTGTGAGAAAAATGCTTCAATAGTATAGTTTTGTGAAGGTTACTCGAGTGATTGTAAAATTTCTTAACTTGACCAAGTGTAACTTGGGGTAAGGAGGAAGTGATCCTTCTTTTGTACACAAAGATTGGTTGTATTTGATCAACTTGAAGAAACTTACTCTATAAAGTAATATTCAAGCTCAAGAGGAGTTTGGAATTTGGTTTACTATTCAATCCCTTTTACTTACTATCTTGCAAACATAAATTGCTCATCTCTTCTATTCACAAGCAATCTTACTTTTTATTAACTGTTCCATTGAGTAGTCATCTAGAAAAAAAGGGTAAATTTTATATTGAGCCAAAAAGTGTCTTATAACCTGATTAATTTTTAATTAACCTAATTCACCCCCCTCTTAGGTTGTATTCGATCCTAACAATTGGTATCAGAGGTTGGTTTCCTAGAGATTAAGTTCAAGTGACTTTGGAGTAAAAATGACAAGCCGTGTTTTTTGAAGGAAAATCTGTCACTAGACCTCCAATGTTTAATGGATCCAATTATGTGAGTTGGAAGGAAAGAATGATTATCTTCTTGCAATCTATTGATATTGAACTGTGGTTTATTGTTAATGAAGATCCATATGATGTCTCTATAATAGATGAAGTCACTTATAAATCAAGATCAAAAACCAGAAATGAGTTGACTGGTGATGATAGTACCCATCTCACTTTGAATGCCAAGACTATGAATGTTTTGTATAGTGTTTTAGATTCAAATGAATCTATTAGGGTTAAATGTTGTAGGTCTGCTAAAGAGATTTGGGACAAACTGAGAGAAATTCATGAAGGGAGTGAGAATGTAAGAGAACAAAAGAAATCTATCTTAGTCACCAAATATGAATCATTTAAAATGGAATCTCATGAAAATATTGACAAAATATATTATAAATTCAATACTCTCATTAAGGACTTAGAAGTTTTAGAAAAGGAATACTTCTTAGGCGAGAAAAACAGAAAAATCTTGAATGCCATTGAAGAGACTAAAGACTTGAACTCTATGCCTATTGAATCTCTTAGTAATTCTTTAACCTCTTATGAGCTGAAACTTAAGACTAAGGTACAAGAGGAAGATGATGCAAAGGTGAGAAGGAGCATTACTCTAAAAGTATCTCAAGATTAAGATGACTCAGCTTCCTTGGATGGAGAAGATGCGGAAGTTGATGATAATGATCTTACTCTCATCACAAGAACTTCAAGAGAATCCTCAACAAAAGGAGATTCAGAAAAGGAGGACCTAACAATACATTTCCAAATTAGTTCAACAATGCAAAAACAAAGGAAAGCAAGAGGCCAATAAAACGCAAGCTGACAAGTGTGAAAATTTAACAACTTCCAAATCACTTGAAATGATTGCAACTCAGATGGTGACGTTGAAGAGAAAGAAGAATCTACTCAAATGGCTTTCATGGCCATTGATGATGATGAGGTAACTATTTGCAATTCTCAACTTAATAGTGATGATGAATCTGATGATGATGTTACTTCCTTCATTGAGAGATTGCATGATAGTTTGAAAGAATTCTATACTAGAAATAAGGAACTAGAACAAAAGATCAATTTTCTTATTCAAAACAATGCAAACCTTTTTCGACAAAACAAAAATTTGAAAGATGAAAATGACAACTTGAAAAGAGTTGAGACTGATTTACATATTGAGTTTGATAGAAAAATAAAATTTTGTGAGATGCTAAAAAAGGAACAAGGGGATTTGGAAAGAAAAATGAATAATCTTAATTAGTTGCTCCAACACAAGAAACAAAACTGTTTTCAAACGAATGAACCAAAATCTTATCGTGGCATTCATGAGAAGAAGTTAAATTCCAGTTCAAATGAGTTTATCATTTATAAAAGAAGACAAGTAAGGTTTGTTAAACCTGTCTATACAAGTAACTCTTTGACTATGTGTAGTTTTTGTTGTCAAATAGGTCACATGAAGAGTAATTGCTATATGAGGAAAAATATGAGAAATAACATGAAATGCATGTGGATAGTTAAACATAATACTAACTCTTAAGGACCCAAAAACTAAAGGTACCATATGTTATCTTGTGATCTTTTGTGTAGGTGAACTTGGTGTATATCATTAAGGAATCAAAATGGTCCATAGATAGTGGATGTTCAAGACACATGATCTGTGATTCATCACAATTCATCAAACTCAATCCAAAATCAAGTGAAAAAGTGACATTTGGAGATGACAACAAAGGCAAAACAATTGGAGTAGGAGATGTTGGTAAGAATGGTCAAACCTTTGTTCACAATGTTCTTTTAGTTGATAATTTAAGTTATAACTTACTAAGTGTTAGTCAATTGTGTGATAAAAATCTGTTTGTGTTGTTCAAAAAGCATGAATATCTTGTTCTTGACTCAAAATTTAATATTATTTTTAAAGAAAAAAGAATAAATGACATCTATGTAGTTATTCTTGAAAATGTTGATTCGTCTAGTTTTAAATGCCTTAAAGTTTCAAATGAAGACCCTTGGTTGTCGCATAGAAGATTTTGTCATTTCAACATGAATTTGTTAAAAGAAATTTCCAAAAAGGAACTTGTTAGAGGTTTGCCAAAAATTAAGTTTGAAAAGGACAAAATTTGTGATGCTTTCCAATTTGGAAAACAAGTCAAAATTTCTTTTAAACCCAAGAAATGTGTTTCTACTTCAAAACCTTTGAAGTTTCTACATCTTGATTTGTTTGGTCCTACACAAATTGCTAGATTGAATGGTAAAAGATATTGTTTGGTTATTGTTGATGATTATTCTAGATACACGTGAGTGATGTTTCTTGCCCACAAAGATGATACTTTCAAAAATTTTGTTTCCCTATTTGCAATATTTCAAAATCTGATTGGGTTGAAAATTATTAAAATTAGAAGTGATAATGGCTCGAAATTTAAATTTTATGATTTTTCAGAATTTTCTGATCATAATGGAATTACTAATGAATTTTCTATTGCAAGAACTCCACAACAAAATAGTGTTGTTGAAAGAAAAAATAGAACTTTTCAAGAAACCGCAAAACTATGTTAAATGAATATTTTTGGGTCGAAATCGTAAATACGGCTTGTTATGCAATGAATAGAGTTCTCTTAAGACCCATTTTGAACAAAATCTCTTATGAGTTAATTTTTGATAAAAAGCCAATTATTGGATATTTCAAAATTTTTAGTTGCAAATGTTTCATTTTAAACATCAAAGAACAACTTGGAAAATTTGATAAGAAACCGATGAAGGCATTTTCTTGGTTTATTGTGAAAATAAAAGAGGTTTTAGATTCTACAATAGAAGGACTCTTGTTATAGAAGAAGTCATTCATGTTACATTTGATGAATCTAATGATGATATTTCCAAGAGTTGTTGTGAGGATGATGATATAGGTGTTCAAGAAGGATATAAAAAACTCACAATTTATAATCAAGACAATTCTCCACTAGAAGAAATTTCAAAGAAAGATGATTCTCAAGAGAATCAAACATTAGAAGAAAATGATAAGGATGTTGGTACTCCTAAGGATCTTCCAAGAGCTTGGAAGTTCGCTCAAAATCATCCCAAAGAACTCATTATTGGTGATCCATCAGAAAGGATTTTTGCACTATTATGCAAAATAAGTTTGAAATGAGCATGATGAAAGAGTTGAACTTCTTCCTTGGGCTCCAAGTGATTCAAAATCGAGATGGGACATTCATTAATCAAATTAAATATACGAAGAAATTCCTTAAAAGATTTGGAATGGAGGATTCAAAGCAAGTTGGAACACCTATGTGCATATCTACTAACCTTGACAAGGATGAAGAATGTATAAAAGTTGATGAGAAGAAATATAGCGGCATGATTGATAGTTTATTTTATTTAACCGCAAGTAGACCTGATATTATGTTTGCTGTTTGATTGTGTGCTCATTTCCAATATTGTCCAAAGGAATCTCACTTAATTGTTGTGAAAATTTTTTTTAGATACTTAAAAAAAATCTTGAATTATGGTCTTTGGTACCCAAAATGTCATGAATTTTCTTTACGTGATTTTTCGGATGCTGATTTTGGTGGATGTAGAATAGATAGAAAAAGTAGAAGTGGTACATGTCACTTTCTTGGTAATTGCTTAGTGTTTTGACTAAATAAGAAACAAAATGCTATCTCCTTGTCTACGGTTGAAACGGAATATGTTGTCTTTGGAGCATGTTGTGTTCAATTATTGTGGATGAAAAGTATCTTGAATGATTTTGGATTGATGTATGAATGTGTGCCTATATATTATGATAATACAAGTGTCATAAATTTGACAAAAAATTCCATTCAACATTCTAGAATAAAGCATATAGACATAAAGTATCATTTCATTCGTGATCTTGTTTAAAAGGGTGAAATTTGTGTACAATATGTTTGTTCAAAAGATCAAATTGCTGATATTCTTACAAAAGCCTTACCACTGGATCAGTTTGTATTTTTTAAAACAAAATTGGGCGTTTTAGAAAAGAATTTCTAAAAATTCTCTTGTCACACTTTATTGGACGTACGATATCATATGAACGGACATCTGACAGTGGTCTAAACCATTTTTTCAGAAAAATTTTGGTTCGGACGGTAGTGTCGGATGCTTCTCTTCGTTTGACTATCCGATACTCAAAAGAGGCGTATTATAAAGCAGTCCTCTCCTTCATTTAGTTCAATTTCAACCGTTATCTCGGACGCACCCTTTCCTCTTCTCCCACTTTCAAATTTCAAATTCGTCTTTCCTCTGAACAAGTTCCAAGAAATTGATTTCTCCAATACCATCACACCCTTTTTGCGCATTGATTAGCACTCGTAACTTTCTTTAATTGCCAACCACTCCACCGATCCCAATTCACAACAAAAACTCTAGTCACTCAAAATTCACTCTTTTTGAAAGATTCTAGCATACATTGTAATCTATACTGCAATTTTAGTCCATCTCATACACATTTGCATCACACTCTGCAACAAAAATAACTCACATATCATCATGGTTCGATTGAGTGGAGGTCCTGCTGGTACCGGACGCACTACCAGGCTAAGACATGAAGACATTGAGATTGTCGAGCCTTCACGAAGAAATCTCCTACAGGAATTGAGACACGTGATGGAAAAGAAACATTCTGCCAGAGAGAAACGAATTGATGAAACTGAGGAACAACCAACTACATTGCCCCATATC